TAGAGATCAAAGACGAAACCAAGCACTGGCCTAATATTGAAACACCCACGCAAGGGGAAGACAAAAAGAGTGAAAGGGAGAATGAAAATGATAAAGAGTAATACAAATAAATGGGTCCCTATTTTGAAACTCTCCACAATCAGACTCAGCATGACCGATTTTCCATCCACAAATGCTTTGTGATGTCACACTATCATAAACATGTTTATGATCGATAGAAAGATATAATGCAAATTATATTATATATAATTATATTTGCAAGCACATTAATGTATTATATAAATATATTACATAAATATAATTGCAAACACAAAAATGTAGTAATTATGCTAGTGCACTGAGGAACAAATGTGACAGGAGATATTTATATTTTACATAAAGCATGCAAGTTCCACCAGTTGATAGGGAGTTTGTCAAACCTGAACATCATATTCTCCAGCATGATTTGGGATGATCCTAAGAGCAACTTGAGCTTCAGTGGGAATGGAACATCTGATTATCAGTACAAAGTGTCACGTGATCACTGTTGTGAATTTTACATTTTTGATCAGTGACCTAGAAATAGTGTAAAAACTTTTCGTATGAACATTTATTTTTCATTTTTACATCATAATGTTCTTCGTTTCAAAATTAGATTTCTGTGCAATACAGAATATTTTGCCTAAAGGGGCTAAATCTGCATACACAGAAGTGTTAGAAGGTCACAATGACACTTACAGCTAGGCTTGAAGGAGAAGCAAAACAGACATTCAAGTCATTCAAGACTTTGGTTCTTTTGTTTCAAAATGTGCAGTCAAAGACAAAGAGCACCAAACAGATACTCTAATAGAGAGTTTGACATGTTCTGACACTATGTTTTGCTCTTGCTTACTTTCGCATTTTTCTTTGCTGTCATTTTTGGTTGGCAGGGTCGGCAGTCTCAGAGTCGTGTGTGAGCCACAGTCGCCCCGCTGCCTTCCATTATTTTAAACAACATGCCTCGCCCTTTACTAACCCTCAGCCACTCCCGACCCTGTCCCCCTGCCCTCTTCCAGGACAGCTATGAGGAGGAAGACCCTTTGATGATCCAGTAAGTAGAAAGAGAGAAAGCATAAAACTTTCACTATGAGAGGAAATTGCACACTCACACTCACACTGACACCAACTTCTGTGCACAAATTCAGAGCAGTCGTTTCTAAACTCCCACAGACAGGATGTTACATACTTGAACATGACCAGATATACACTATTATATGTACAGCTCATTTGAAATGTATATTTGCTATACAAATTTGGCTTACTATTCAGAGAACACTACTGTGCAAGAGAAAACAGTACTGAATTTAGATTCTCTCATCTAAAGCAGTTTTACACACTCTATATACACCTTAAGCTAGCTAGACAGATAAAAACACAGGAAAAAATGTGGGTAGTATCTGATTATTCTTTAAAAGAAAAGTTAAATACGTTTTAAAATAAAACCTGACAATTATTTCTTATTTCTAACGAGACAAGGGCTGGCTAGGTTAATCTAATTCTTCGGTTTTCAGAATACCATTTAGTAAGTGCAACATCAGAGCTCCATGTATCTCCTTACATCTAAAAAACATTACAGCTCAGATTAAATAACCTCATTACATTACTTGCAACTTTGAGCCTGACACTGCAAAATCAGCCTTCATATTTCAGACACCCAGTATGCACAAAACAAGCTGTTTTGTTACCCAAATGTTTGCAATTAAAACAGTCGTAATTTCACTCTTGGAGGAATAATTAAACTAACTGCCATTCCATACGGTTTAATAAAGCCTGCATCGCAACTGGGAAAAATATAATTGTGAGCTGCTGCGGCTGCTAAAAGAAATCAAATACAAAACCACAGAATTGTAAAAGGACAAGAAGAAAGGCTGCTTAAAGAGAGAGAACTGCCTTCTCAGTGTAAATGCTGTGGCTAGAAGGCTCTGAAGAGAGTTAAGGAGGAAGAAGGCCAGAGTAGTGGAAAAGTAGAGCCATTGTCTTCCTTTATGGAAGCCTCCAGTACAGCCCCAAGGGAGACACACTGTACTAAACTGAGCATGAATTCAAGGCTTTCAATGAGTTACAGAAAGCAAAGAGAGGGAAAAAAAGAGGTCGCTCTGTGTAGCCCCGTGACCTCTTGGAACAAGGTTCAGCTTTGGAGGCGCTGGTTAGAGTTGTGAGAAATGAGAAGCGTGATTCTGAATGCAGACTGAGGTCAGAGAGCTCTAATGTTACTCAATGGGCCTCTCTTACTAGACCTCATCAGTATTGCCTCATTAAGTTTTCCGTCATTCCACCCACCTGGCACCACCTACGCCTTGTCTTTATGACATCATGATGAGGTTTGGCACTGTGCAAACAGCACAAAAAGCAGACATGGAGAGAAGATCTCACGTCATTTCCCCTTTTTTTCATATTTTATGGTCACGGTTTCCTAACTTGTTCAGTTGTTACGAAAAAGATTCAGTAGGGAGTTATATATATTTGTTTTCCAAGCATGCATTGTCTTAGGGACCAGTGCCCAAATCACTTAAGTTAAGAATATTCATTGTAATAATTTTTAGTCTTTTTATTTATATATTACTTATATATTTTTATTAACGCTTCTTGTATATTATAAATGGTTTAAAAAATATATTGCTGGTGTTTAATGTTTTGCAGTTGCCCTTTTAAGAATAAAAACCTTAAAAACTGAAATTTTACATGAGAATGAAATCAAGCAAGCCTAAAACATATTTGGTGTCAAAATAAGTTGGAAAAACTATCTTGAGAAATTTAATAATCCATTAAAAAGAACTGTTTTAATTTGACTATATCATAAATTTCTCTAAAGGAACAATGTTAGCGATCTCAGGTTTCCAAAATCAATATATTATTGTAGACCACATGGATTAACAGTATCATTTATAGAAAAGTTTAAGAAAATGTTCAATTAAATGTTTAATATTTGTTAAATATGTGTCAATGTGCATACTATTCAACCTTTTTGTCAGAAGTCCATTTTAGGTATTAAAGGGGTCATAAGATGCCCATTTTCCACAAGTTCATATGATTCTTTAGGGTCTTAATGAAAAGTCTGCAACATCGTTTGGTTAAACTTTCTCAATGGTAGTGTAAAAACACCTTTTTTACCTGGTCAAAAACTGCTCTTTTCAGATCAAGCCGTTTTTGTAGCATTTTCTTTTAAATGTTAATGAGCTCTGCTGACCCCACCCCTCTCTTCCGAGCTGCTCTCAGAGAGACTGTTTACTTTAGCCGCATTCATCCTGAAACTTGCTAATTAGCACATTATTAGGAAAGGAGATTTGCAAAGATTCATTACAAAACATTATACTCACTTCTTCTGTAGATGAGGCTGGATCATGAATGATACGCACGAACATAGACATTATTACATCCAACAACAGAACACCTCAATCGCTTAGGAGTCATTCTTGTCTACATCTGCTCCAGCGGTGAAACAATGGCGGACTGAAGACCGCTCACTCAGGGTGGGTCTAAGGTAAGACACCAGTCCAGTCTGTGCTGAAACGCTACTGTCAATCAAACTATCGTGGGAGGGGCCTGTCTGTGTGAGGTCACACAGAGAGGCATCTGAGATCGGCTCGATTTGTAAAAGGGGAAAACATTTAACCAGATTTTTAAAAAAAAAACACTGGGTGGATTTTTATCATTATAAGGTGGTTGTGTACACACACTGCCAACACACATTTCAGTTCAAACAATTGTAAAAGTGCATGTAGCATCCTATGACCCCTTTAAATAATATACAGTACATATTAGGTGATTAATGCAAAAATTATATTCGCTGATGTGTACTTTTAAGTACAGTACAGATTTGATTTGAACCTGTGAGATTCTTTTTGTTGAATTACGGTTGCAAGACGTAACATTTTCAAGTAACGAATGCACTTCCCCATAATTTGCTTCACACTTCAGAGAACAATAGCTCAGTTCTGTTTTCCGTTCGGTTATCCAAGCATCAAGTGGCCAGCGGAACGAAAACATAAACGGAACATTCAAGAAAACAGGAACTAGTACAACATGAGAAGTGCATCCAAACTGAACCAATGTATACCTTTTTTATCCACATGGTGCCAAAACTGAAACTGATAACTTGACCTCTTTAAGACACATACACTATTTAAAGCTTTAGTGGTAACATAGGTCTCTAAATAGAAAACATCTGTGCTTAGCATGATGCTTGTCCTAAATATTTATAACGTATGTTTGTATTATATCCAACAACAAGTAACTAAATAGACAAATAACTGTCAAACTAAATTAAAAATGATACTGACTGCAAATTACTATAATAAGAAGAGGGTTGAAAAAAAAAGTGTTGTCAGTCCTCTTCCTTTTTTAATACCTATGAGTAATCCGCTGTTAAAATTTAGCACTGCAACCCAGTATGATGGTAAACTATGCATTTTTAAACAAGTCAGACCTTGGACCAAATCAATGCATTCTTTTCAGATGAAGGACTCTGCTCTGTCAACACATTCACTGCTTTTCTGCTTAAGAGCACTAAACGTTGAAAAAATGCAGCAGAATGTGATGAATAGATCAGATTTTGGCGGACTGCTCAAAAGAAAACAAACTTTAGCAGTGAAAGAAAAGACTTGGGGAGACTGGAGAGAGGACAAAAGGAAATGAGTGAGAGGGCGAACGAGAAAGAAAACAGGACAGGGAACAGTCTGTACCTTCACACACTGCCAGGCAGACACATATAAACTCAGCCAACATTTAACTCCCATTTGAAGTAAGGCCCCTATTTTACACAGATGGTTAATATTCACTTTGCATCAGGATTATCCCTCAGATGTCAGACACTGTTCAGGACAACATAGGACTAGATGAATAAGGGACCGAGAGTGAAAGATCGGGCATTTAGGGTGATTTCATGCCCTCCTAACAAGCCAAGTCCAGATTTTTCCTTCGATATGCATGTACATGTACATGGTTGGAAATGGAAAAGCAAGAATAACTACAGATTTCTCTTATACTATAATTTTTATTATCATCGTCATGTTAAACAACAGCACAGCTGCTGACTCATTCGCATACGCACATATATATAAAACACACACACACACACACACACTCACTCACAGCAGTGGATTAGTATCCTTTTGCTACAATCTCCATGGAAAACAATTCAAGGTTTGTCCGTGCAATAACTGACCTTTTTGTCTTTGCATTTCAACCATTAAATTGGATCTGGCAGATACCATTCACACAACAACACTCAAATTCTCCAGGGAGCCGAGTGTTTTGACAAGTGCTTCATAATCTCTTCCGAAAGTCACAGACTCAGATTTACAAAACAGGACTACTTTGCCCAAGAAGTGCAAAACTCTGGCATGTGCCAGTACAAGCCCTTTCAGAGGGCATTATCCACACAAAAGTTTTGAACAGTCTTAGCTCAATCATTTTGACAGTCAGTGACTACATGACTAAGGTTTCAATCCAAGCACTGACACCGAGCGCTCCCTTGTTAACCATGAACACATTTCCTTCAATGAAACATCTAAGGGTTAAGAAAAAGGAGACCAGAATGCCTAAATGTTGAAAAAGGTTAGGTCAAATGTCACCTAAGTTGTCATAGATGATGTCTGGAGACTGCATGATAGGATGCCATGCATTTGGAGGCGGCTGATGTCTAGATACTTTACTGTAAAGCTCCACAGTGTTTCCTGCACCAGCATCTCTTCTAACACCTTCCGTGCTGTTATGGCTGTTGCTACTGTTATTGTTGTTCAGGTTAGCACTGCCTTTAATTTGAGGCAGAGGAGGAGGGTCTTTCTTGGGCAGTGCTACTTTGCCTGGTTTGGGTGCTGTGACAGGTTTGGGGCCTTTTGGTCTGGGCACTGGCAGTGGTTGTTGAGCCACCTCATGACATTGAGGCTCCTCCATTCCCCTGGTTCTCCAGGAATGCATTTCCAACCGTGCTTCATCATAAAGCGTAATAATAGGCAGTGCAGATCCAGCACGTCCCTCTGGCTCATCGTAGATGTGCTCTGTAGGACCTCCATCTGCAGGGTGCCTGCTTCGCCCATCGAGTCCCAATGCCACTGTCCTCTGCACCAAGTCAAGACTGATCTGATCATAGATGTCTGAATAGAATGGCTCAGGCTTGATGCCCGGGTGGCGGCTACCCCCCTCATCGCCAGTCGGCCTGAGGCGTGGGTTAGGAGTGGGCAAGACTTTGATACTGTCTACCGGGTCTGAGTATAAGCAGTCCCCTGGACTGGGCGGAGCACGGACCGAGTCAGCGGGCTCTGAGTACAGACTCCCTTGGTCCTCTAACATATTTTTGGACCCACGTGGCATGGGAGATCGTGGCGGGGTCCCACCAACGGGAGGCGGCGGCTCTGGAAGGCTTCGGCCTTTTACATTTTTCCCATCGTTCTCTTTTCTACCAAAAACACCAAAAATACCATCCGCGGACCCAGGCTTGCTACCACCAGAATCTCCATCTGGTTCACGACTGTTTGCTTCTGAGATGGCAGCACGGATCTGCTGGAGAGCTGGGCAGTCTGAGTCTAATGATGGACAACTTTGGTGTCGTTCTTCAGCTTGGGCTTTCTGCTCCCGAATGGATTCCTCAACTATGTGGAATATCTCATTTCCCTGCTTTGTCTCGAAGGTGAAGTTCCCTGGCCCAGATTCACATCGTCGTCCAGCTTCAAATGAGAACATAACCTGCAGAGAATGTCAGAAATGTGACGGTGTGTTTGTGACCTTTCATCACTTTTATTTTTCATTCTCTTATGCACATGGACATTTAACTTGGTATTTGAATTAACCTTCTTTAAATAAACGTCATCATCTAATTAATATTATTTTAGTATTACTTATATACTATTATAGACGGAAAATTCAATTTAAGGATATAGATGATAGATTATATAGAATTAATATTTTGAATTAACTTTTATTTTTGTTTTTCATTTTCATTTAAATTTTAGTTGAATTGTAGCATTTTTTGGTTATATTTGTTTTATTTTAGTTTTTTTTTACCCAAAATTAGTATTTTTTTTATTTCAGTTTTGTTAGAAATGTTTTAACTGTTTTGGTTAATGATAATAACTCTGATCTTACTGGGGGGGACCCAGCACCCAGCACATTAATCTTTTCAGTCACACTTTAGTTTGGGGACCAATTCTCACTATTAACTAAATATTAACTACGACCTTTTGCCTCAATAAACTATAATAAACTAAATAAGGTAGTTAAGTTTAGGTATGGGGTTTTAGTATTAAGGGATCTAAAATATGGTCATGCAGAATAAGGCATTAATATGTGCTTTATAAGTATTAATAAACAGCCAATATGCTAGTAATATGCATGCTAATAAGAAACTAGTTAATAGTGAGATCTGGTCCCTAAACTAAATATTTTCAAACCATCATGACCTGCATTCAGTAGTCATTCACCGCATTAGCTCTGCCTTCCACCCACTCATAAGGAGAGGAAGGCCAGCTTCCTGTACCAAGGCAGTTTCTATAGTAATGACAGGAAGCAGAATTGGAAACAACAGTGGCTTAAGTTCCTGCTTTATATGTCATCTGTAGTACGAGGCCAGCTGTCTGCAACTATATTGGGTTAATGCAAACAGCCGTTAGATTAATAAAGACACACTGTGAGCAGTCTACATTATAAGGTGTGAGTGTCTGAGAGCTACATATATACACAAGGCTGAGGCTGAATGCAGTCAGTGTTGAAGGTCATCTATCATGTGTTACCATTCTACAGAACAGATTATTTAATCTGTTCTGTAGAATGGTAGCAAATGCAATTGACCATTTTTAATAATTCACACTGATTTTGTATTGGTTTGAAATTTCAGTATGCTTTAATTGAGGACATTTCAAAATCAGAAGGGACTAAAACTCACCCTGTCTCTTCCATAGCGACGGAGAAGCTTGTAGGGCCATACGAGTAAATGCTTTTTAGTCTTGGGGTCCTTCAGGATAAGGTTGTCCACATTAGCCCTAAGCCAGTAATGACCGGAGAGACCACAGCGCTCTGATGCTTCTGTCCTCTGGACACTCACCCAAAACTCATTCACTGCAAAACAGAACAGATTCAAGTGAAAGTGTGTATATGAAATTCCTTGTTCTGAATTTGCTTCAAGTAGTTCAAGTACAGTAGTATCACAGGTCAGGTATAATTTATATGTGGCTTAATGACAAACAGAAAAAAAATGTGATAAAGAAAAGGCAATCTCCTTTAAAAATAAATTTTTTTAGAAATGTACTCTCTGTGTTGGTTTTGAAAAAAAATTATCAGGTCAAGTCAAGGGAGCTTTATTGTTATATGTGGAAACATACTGTACAATGGAGCCAAATGTTGTGCCTCGCAGGACCATGGTACAGTATATACAGTATTCAAACATAAATATATAAATATAAGCCATAAAAGTACAAATACATAAGTATGAACATACACATAGCTAACCAACTAAAAGAAGTAATACAACTATACATACTCTCCATATAAATACTTCACATATACTTTGGACATATATTTCGGGTTTCACATGTAACAACACAGTGATACAAAGACCGGGTCAAATTTAATAGTTCTGAAAATGTGATGTGATGTAACCATTAAGTAAAAAGCAAATGCTTTTTTTTTTCTTAGATCTTCAATACATGCGAGTATACACATCCTAATCCTTATTTTAAAAAAATACTCATTTATTTTTCAAGATAAAAAGTATTTAAAAAAAAAAAATCATGATTACACTTTTGGGTAGTTGCATCACATTTTGTCATACAGTCTGAATTAATTTTATGTTTTATTCACAAAGGACAAATCTGATATTTTAAGAGACTTATTGACCTTGACACAAGTCCAGAGGGTCTGCAGTCCTCTATGATATCATTTTCATGTTTGTTTCTGCATGCTGGTTGCACAACATGACTTTGATTTGGCGTACAACAGTTGATCAAATATCAATAAGCAGTTTTGTTAAAGTATTTTTTCTAAAGAATACTAATAATAAAGATGAAAGAAAGAATGCCAAACTATTTTTAAACGTTTTTTCTTTTTATTATTTTAATGAGGCATTTCTCTCAGCTATAATTAAAAATACATGCTAACCATTAAGTGGTTCAAGACATTGTGTCACTGCCTTTTATAAATACCAATAGGTTTATCAGTGACTGAAATAGTCAATATATACAGTATGTAGATTTATTTCCCCCCCAGTTAAGTATTACTTTTGAAGTAAGTCGAAAATGTATTTGTATACCACTTTTCACAATACACAATTTCAAAGAAGCTTTATAGAGTTTCATGATGTTAATACCTAACTGTAAACATTTAGCAGTTTAGAACTGGAAGATAGTATAGTTATCATTTGACAGTACAAAAAATTATGCTCTGACAACATAAGCAATCAAGCTGCTGAGATTCATGCTATACAATTTATAAAAATGTTGTGTGTGGCTTGTAAGTAAATGTGTCTTATAAGTAAAACTGAAAGGTCTTTGAATCTCAGGAAGTTGGTCAACACTGGTCTTTTTCAAATCACATAGGAACAATCCACAATGTAAAAAAAAAAAAAAAAAGTACAACCAGGATGTTTTTCATTTGATGGGTCCCGCGTGCTATTTCCCTGCTAAGTTCAGCAAAGATACACTTCTGCTTATCAGAGACTACAGGCCGTGAGTGATTACCCTACTTTCCTCTGCCTCTAGAAATGCTCCTATGCAATCTGATAACATACAAAATGAGTTGATCCACTCTAATCTTCATTCATTTTCTTGTCTATATCTGGATTGGCTTTCAAACAAAATACCAACAGCCACTGGACAGGGCACTGACAACCATTACCCATGCGTTATACTCCAATACCAACTGTCATATGCTGTCAGGCTAGAAAAGGTCTACACAAAGGAGATAATGAGTTCCAAGACTGTATCGTTGCAAGCCTTTTAAATGTCAGCTCCCACACTCTTTGAGGAAGTCAGTGCTGCCCTTAATAAAAACAGAAGTGATCACAAACTATTTCCCTAGAAACACTTGAGAATGCAGGTAGTTTGTGCACTGAGTGAACTTAACAGTGACTTCTTGACTGTTTACCCTGCATAGCACTGGATGAAGTGAGTGTCAGCCATGAAGGAGGGGGCAGGGGAAATGCCTGAGATTTTGCTCCACTTTCTGTCCTCCTCCATTTCATTTGCAACCCCTTTGCGTCTTTCACTCAGTGACTATTCAAATTAAATGAGTGTGACACAGCCATCTACGTCTTTCTGTAAACATCTAAGTGTAACCACATTCAAGAGCTCTAATATTTCAGGCATTTTGACTAACATGAGCAGGGAATTTGCATGCAGTCCATTTGCATCTAACAGAACATTTCGGTCTATTCACTGAAAGCAGTTTTGCTGGTCTAGGTGTGTATATAACTTCAGACTAGCGACCAAAAAGAAACTGAATTGACAGTGGAGGTGACATCAAGTCCTACACTTTGAGAAACTCACTGCACATTATGAAATGAGCACTTGGAGCTGTATAGCTAAAAAAAAAAAACAGCTGGCTCAATTTAAATCAGTTGTTGGAAAAACTAAGCATGAGTAAAATTCATACTGTGCTACATGTCCCTTCTTACCTTCCTCTCTGGAGAAATAAATGAGATTCTCTGCCATTTGAAGCTCTTGCTGTCCATTTGAGTCCAAACTACCAAGAGAACCACTTCCTCCCTAAAAGCAAAGAGACAGAGAGAGAAAGTGAGAGATGCAGAGTTAGTACAGGGGAAGCTGTGTTATTCCCTTTGGAAATTCTCAAAACGTCTGGAATGGATTCCAATGTTTTAGAACACCTTAATATATGGTTAAAAGGTAATTATGCTTGTCAAATAGTTGAACAGAATTCATTCATTGTTAAAATGGTACGTTGTTAAAACAACGATCCTATTTTTAGGATTATTCCTGTTTTTATTTAAAAAAGTATGTTATATATTATTTATTGTCTTGCAACATTATTCTCATTACATTTGATGACTTCAAAATTCTCATTGCTGGACAATTTTATTCTCATTATGCATTTTATTAAAATGGGCAAATACTATTAAGAGCAAAAACTAATATAATTTCTTAGAAAAACAGTGTCACAGGTCTCTCATTCTTCTCGAAACTCAGGAGCAAAGTCACAAGTGTTGTTGACCACATTGACCCTTGAAACATTAAAAAGTCTCCATGATGTCATCTCACCTGAAAAGCAATCTCACACATCTTCTCCACCCACTCATTGGTAATATATTTCTCAGCTGCAAAGACGTACGTCTTGTCATTGGTCTCCACATAGAAGGCAGCCATGTTTTCTTTAGGGCAGGTTTCAGTGACAGCAGGGAGTATGCTGATGCATTCTGACAGACGAATGATCTTCTTGTCCATTTTCTTAGTGCTAGGTTTATCATTGGCACTGCCTGAGCAATCATAAAACTCAAGCCGTGCAATGCCATTTTGACTGGCTGGGTAGAGTACGAACCAGTTCTTCTTCCATTTCTAAAAAGGAGAGAGGGATAAGAGGAAGTTTTTACTCTTTGATGAAGAACTGCCAGTGTCTTGGGGAAATTCAATTATTATTCACTCATGGGTCTAAAACTTCTGAAAATACATGACTTTTTTTTTTAAATAGTTTTTTTTTTTAAATTATTATTAAAATGTCATAATTAGACAATGGTTAGCTATTAGCTATTCTTAAAATTGATTTCATGATCACGTTCAGATCTGCCTCCTTCCAAACAGCAAAAGAGAATATATAAGAAAACTTGTTACATTGTGACGTTAAAGTCACCATAAAATCAAAATGGAAAATTCTTATTTTTTGAATGGAATACTGTAGTGTTTATTATAAATAATTTATCCGTGCACTTCATTATTTTTTTTTAAATTCATGTGCCCTCGTAATCTTTAATCAAAAACCCTCAGGCAATCCATCACATGAACACTTGACAATAACTGTGGAACACACACTATTTATTCAATCATACACTTATTTATCTAACACACATACTCTGTCTACATTCCAATTTGCACATAATATACCTGTACATGCAACTGTCTATTGTTATATATCTGTACATACAATTATCGATTTGTATATTTTTATTCCTTATTTACTTGTTCTATTTTTTAATTTTTTCTATTTTTTTATTATCTGTGTTTTTTTGTTCTGTCACTGTCATTCTGTTACACTGTGGAAGCTTCTGTCACGAAAACAAATTCCTCGTATGTGTAAACATACCTGGCAATACAGCTCATTCTGATTCTGATTCTGATAACCAACTTCCAGGTAGCAGCAAATTATTGTTAATGTCAGTTCTGCATATAATTGGCCCTTATTCAAGTCCATAAAATATTCATGCAAGAGGAGTGCCAAATTTATGTCACTTTCTTTATTTAGCATCTGGATCATAATGCTGAGGTCAACAAGAGGAACTTGACAATGAATTTCAAGACCCTTCCTCCAGATGGACAATGAAAAGCAAATTCTGCAGCGAACAAAAGACATCTATGTGTATATGGGTGTGTGAGAGAGAGAAGGAGTGTGGGTCAGTTCCTCACATTGTTTGTAACATAAGAAAAAATAATGACCTTCAAAAAAAGTCCAAGTTTCACGCTGATTCACTATTGTGATCCAGATGCGTTGTTGTAATCACTAACACCGTGTACACACTACCAAAGCCAGGCTACTACATGAAAAGGGAAAAAAAGCATTGTGATTTTTAAAGGGGCCATGAATTATTATTATTATTTTTAATATATATGTAAGGTCCATGTGTAATATCGGTAGGATTTTTACATCAAAAGCAGTCAAATTTTACTGGCTATGATTGGGAAATATCTTTGCATATGAAATAAGAATTATCCAAGTAAAACTATTGAAATGCAACTATGATTACAGTTGCAATGACTAACTAATTGTGAAAAGTGTGGATTACAGTATTAATACTGAACATTGTAGCCAATGTTGAACACATGAATGTAATGACTTGAGTTTAGCACAAGCTCATATACTCTCGAGAATGCTCTCACCATAACCAAAGTGTAGGCACTGTGTTCTGTAAATATGAGATTCATCATGCACTGTAGACAAATTCAATGATAACAGGAGTTTTGGGAAAAGAGCAGAACTTGCAATGGACTAAAATGATTGAAAGCTCAAGCGTTTATAAAAGGAGCATTCTTTGTTCACTTTCTGTATATCATTGGAATCACAATATGCATGTGTTTCATTGCTAAAAGGAACAATGTGAAATAGACCATTCAGGCAATGGCTTCATAAACCGACACAGAAACAAAAATAAACAATTTTGCAATAGAACAGCTACATGACTAGAACTACATGATTCCTTACTAGAGGTTGACCTATTGATTGGTTTTGCCGACTGCCATATTTTGTTATTTTTGATTAGATAATCATCGAGTGTTCTAAAATAGAAGCAAATAAAGTGCGAGTATACATACAATATCCATATGTATGTAATTTCAATGCTAAGGCTTTTGTGTAGATATTTATAGATGGCCATCTTTAAGTATGACTGTTGATATGAAATGGTAACACTTTACAATAGGAGTCCATTTGTAACATTAACTAAGGTTAATAAACCCTCTGGGGTCTGAGGGTGTTTTGGGCCCTGGAGAAGTTTTGACATGTCCTGACATTTGTGCTTTTTTCAGTTGCTAATAAACATTTTAATGACTAAGTTTAGTAGCACCATAATCAGCACAAACTGGGCTACAATAATATGTGAGCAGCATGTATGTATGTGATTGTGTTTTTGAGAAAACAACGTTTATGCGTGCTTAGTGAAAAACAAAAATTTTAAAGTCACTGAAATAAGGCCATAAAACACATACAGAACATTTGTTCACAGGACTATTGAGAACAGATCTTGAAGTCTAGAATTTTTTCATCAGAATGATGTGAAAATCATCTTGTTTACTCACTCACAGAAAACAATATATTGATTTAAATTTTCTAAGACACTTTTTGTGTAGAAAAGGAATATGCGAGGGGGCGTGAATCGTCATGTATAATGAGTGATTCACACCTGAGAAGACAAAGGCCTGCATAATGAGCTGCATAATGAGCTGCATAATGAGCTGCATAATGAGCTGCATAATGAGCTGCATAATGAGCTGCATAATGAGCTGCATAATGAGCTGCATAATGAGCTGCATAATGAGCTCTCAGGTGTGTGACTGAGAGGGAATTGCTACAAGAAATAAAGAGGAAAAAGAAATGTATCTATTTTTTGTTTGTAGTTTATTTAGAATATATATAACTATCACATAATTTTGGGAGTGTGTGCATCACATGGTCTTAGCTGTGGTCCAGGCTCTTGTGCGGGGCAGAAATCTCAGAGCCTGTGGAACATGTCAACGTCAGTCTCTGGTTTCCATGACCAAGTGGGCTGCTTATTTGCTTTGGCTCTCTTTGCAACAGGTTCTGAAATAAAAAAGCCAGCATGCTGTTTACACAAACTACATTATTAACATTATTATGATGTTCACTGATACTAGTACTAATTTATCGAAACAAAGAACACAATTACCACATAGCAAACATATTTTACCACAAAGTAACTAAATCAAATGAAAATAACATCTGTAAAATAGTGAATGCACACTTACTCTAAAATTCTGAATGGAGTTGAAAACTGAACGAGTGCCCCCTTCCTTTGAGAGATGCAGGTGAAGGCAAGAGTGGTGTACTCCCCACAGTACCTTAGTATAGTATGCATACTTCATGAGAAAACAATGCCAATTCTAACATTTTAACACTATCAACCACAAATAATATTACCACATATTCTGGGAATAATACAATTACTATACTGTGCACTTACTCAGTGTGATTTTCCAGCAAACTCAAAACTGAACGACGTGCGTGTGCCTTTCTTGTGCAAGATGCCGGTGATGCAGCCACAGTCCTAAACCAAAATGAAAACAGTTTCAAACATTTCAGCGTGCTCAGCTTGTGGGCGTGGTCGCATTAGAGATAATGAAGGTAGATGTGAAAAACTGGACATCGCGTTGGTTTCATATGGATTACTTTATCACAGAATATTTGCTTTCGATAAGACTTGCTTAGTTTAAAAGTAGACATGTGAAGCTTTCTATAGATATACCTCTCATGTCTCTTTGTTGAGTATTTGCTGAGTTACAGTTCATTTTAATGACGCGTTTCTAAATAAAGATTACGCAGACCAAGGCGGCAGACTGCACACCCTGTTTGTTTTCTTTATTTTATAAATGCACAAAGTTCTGTTGTTATTATGTGTGTATACAAATAAAAGTAGACCCTTTACAGATTCGATTAATGTATTGCTCTTATCTGTAAGATCAAAACTGAAAGTGTAATTTAAGTTCTTTTCGGTGTGATCAGGAGAAGATGCCTCAAAACGCGTATCCGCGTTAATCGACCTCAGAGGGTTAATAAAAGCTGTTGAATTATTGTCCCTTGTTAGAGTGTTAATTTTAACATTTACTAATACATTTTTAAATTTGAAAGTTGCTTCTGTTAACATTCATGAGCTAACTTTAATGATCAATATATAATTTATATTTAACATTACCGTTTTGGCTCGAATATAAGACGACCCTGATTATAAGACGACCCCCCTTTTTCCAGATGTACCTTTTGGAAAAAGGCTTTTTAAAAACCAAATCTTGTTTTTTCTCAGTAAAACACATTTTGTCTTCAATTATTTTCATATTGCATATTTTTCCTATTTTATTTGTTTTGAAAGTATGGTAAAAACTGGTCAAATGTACCAACAATCACATTTAAAAAATATACACTTTTTGATATACCATAAAAAATGTAAAAACAGGTAGCCCATCTGAATTAGGACATTTAGGCTATCCATCTAATAGTAGCCTACCAAAATCTTATTAAGAGTAGAAGTTAAATCTTACTGTAGTCTTCAAATCTGGGTACTGTCTTACGTTTTAAAATCACAAAGGGAGTTTGGTCCCATCAGGCTAACGTAACAGTCACGACTCATGCAGCTGTAAGGTTTTCTTTTTCTTTTGTTTTTACTCGCGATCTTTACAACACGCATTACATTACGTATTTCATGGCACACTCGTTTTACTCGTTTCCACCTATTGTTGTGGATGTATTATTGACATGTCAAAGTCTAGACCCTGAATATAAGACAACCGCGTTTTTTCAGATGTATTTCCAAGAAAAAAAACATCGTCTTATATTCAGGTCAATACGGTAATATTTTTATTTATTTACAAAATATGGTTCAGTACTTTTTTTTTTAAATAGTAAAGCACTATTTTAATTTTCATTCAGTATCTACTTTAAAAACTATCGGTTGATTAATTGTTATTGGCCACTGTGGTTGAACCTAACTATTGCTATTTGGTATCAGTAAAATCTGTCGACCTCTATTCCTTACATATCACTTATCACAGATCAGGGTTTAGATTTAACACGGTTACTGACATGTTATTCAGTCAAGATTGCAAAGCTTGTCCAATTG